AAAAAGAGAAGAAGAAGAACGAGGAGGAGAACAAGAAAGAGGCAGAGGAGAGGAAAAACTAAGCAGGTAGCCTATAGACAGAGAGAGGCAGACAAGACAGACACGAACCAATCTCACCCATCCTTCAGCCTCGGCCAGTTGCGTCCTTGCGACCTGCATCTTGCGTCTAGTCTGCCTGGCCTCATCGGCGCGGCTGATTTTCTGCCCCTCCGAAACTTGAAACGCAACAACTTGCTGCTCTCTTGGTTTTTTTCTCTGTCCCTTATCCTTTTTTCCTTCTAGATCTTCAGAAGAGAGTAGCCTTGCCTCCCGTCACCGTCGTTCTCCTCCTCCTCTTTTTTTCCCGCCAGGCCCCCAGCCGCAGCCGCAGCCTCCGGGTCTTCGGAAACTTCCTGTACCACACGCACACACACACACACACCCAAATCCCGCACGCATTTGCCGCGCGCTGTCGAACGTGCTTTGTGCGGGTACTCGGACCTGGGTCCGGGTTTTTTTTTTTTACCTTCTCAACCTTCCCGCCTGTCAGCTGGAGCAAGCACACGCGGGACGGTAGAGTCCAGACCAGAGCAGAGCAAAGCGGAACAGGCATAATGACACGGAAGGGCCAGCCAAAGGTTCGCACAGGCTGTTTAACTTGCAAGTGAGTTTCTTTTCTCGTACTATATTTCCTCTTTTTTCACTTTGACTTTTTCTTTCTTGATCGGCGATCTGAAGGGTGGCTGCTGCGCGGCGCTGCCTTGGCTTCAGCCCGAAATCCCAGCCTCGGGCGGAACGTGTTATATCCCTCAAAAAGTCGGATGACTTCCGGCCGGTCTCCGGACTGTCTCCGGGGCTGGAGTTTTCAACCGGGGTCGGCTGCCGAGACGAGACTGGACGAGCGCCCCCGTCTCCGGCTGCGTATGTACGGTGGTATACATGTATATGGTGTGTGTAAGGTGTGCCGTACCGTGTGCGCGCGTTGTAGAATGTGTTGTATGTGAGAGTGTGTGATGTGCGTGTGTGACCAAGCGGCCACCGGGCCTCACCCTCCGTCTCCGTCTCCGTTCCCACATTCACAATCCCGTCCTCAAGAAGAAAAAGGAACACCTCCCTCCCTCCGTCATTCAGTCATTTTCGCCATTCTTACTTCTCTCTCTTCTCCCATTCAAATAGGTCACGCAAGGTAAAGTGCGATGAAGCAAAACCGGCGTGCGCGCGCTGCACCAGCACCGGCCGCAAATGCGAGGGCTACGCCGTCGTCGTCCCCAGCAACCGGGCCATCGCCCGCGCCCGCTCGCGCACCACGAGGCTGAGAGACGCGCTCGCGCAGGCCAGGGCGGGCTGGGAATTCGAATCGGACCAGGCCACCGTGGAGTACTTTGCCCGGGACGTCGCCCCCAACCTGCCGCAGAACTTTGAAAACAAGTTCTGGTCCGACCTCGTGCCGCGCCTGAGTAAGTCGGAGCCCGCCGTGAGGCATGCCATGGCTGCCATTGGCAGTCTTTTCCCGCAGCGAGGACCCCCGAGTAACTCGATCCAAGGAGCGACGATAAAGTCGGCGACGACGACAGCGGCGACGGCAACGACTGCCGATGGAGGGAGAGGGAATCCGCAGGCCGACGAGCATTATGGCAAGGCGTTGCGGTTGATGGCCAACAAGGTCGCGCCGGAGAGGGGGTTTGAGGATGTCCAGACGACGTTAGGAACAACTACCACCACTAGGACGACTTCGACGACGACGACGACGATACGAAACGACAGTAGCAGGTCCTTCGGATCACCCAGCAACCGTTCATCCCCGAGCCTGTCCTCCGCCGGACCGTCATCAGCAATCCAATCCCCGGCAGCTATGACGCCAGGCATCTCGAGCATACCAGAGCTCGCAGAACCAGACCGGCAAGACACCCTCACGCCGACGAACCCCTTCACATCACCCCAAAGCCAAGCCGGCGGCGACGACCCCGACGACGACATGACGCAACCAAACGATGTGGACGTCGTCCTCTCCTGCTGCATCCTCTTCATCGCCACGGAATTCCTCCGCAAGAGCTTCGACGCCGCCATGCAGCACCTCGCCAGCGGCATCAACATCCTCAACAACGTAGACTACGACGAGCTGGAACAAGACACCCTCGACGAAATCGTCCCGAAATTCCACCGCCTCAGCATCATCCAGCTCTGCTACTACGACAAACCGGGCTTCCCCTCACTCAACCTCCAACACGGCGGCGGCACCGGCGGCGGCGGCGTAGGAAGCCTCGGCGGGCTGGGATCCAGGTACAACCTTGGCCCCTTTGACAAGAGCAGTAGCATCTACCTCCCCAAACGCGCCGTCGACCCGATCCTCCTCGACGCCATCCGCTACATCCGCTCCGCCGACCCCGGATCGCAGACCGACTCCCGCCTCGCCTCAAAGGGCCCCGTCATGTCCGAGGAGCAAAAACACATCTGCGTCTCGCTCGACCGCTGGCACGCCGCCTTCCTCGCCTTTGTCGAGAACCCCCGCAAAGACGCCGACGGCGACCGTCCCCTGCCGAAGCATCAGGGTCTCATCTGCGCCGAGACGGAGATGAAGTACCAGGCGGCCAAGATCTGCATCAGCGTCTGCCGGTCCCACGACGAGTCTGTGTACGACTGCTTCAAGGAGAATTTCGCGCGCATCGTCGTTCTCGCGCGGTTGATCCTTGACAGCTGCCCGGACGTGCCACCCGAGACGCCGGACGATTTCCAATTCGATTTTAAACCGAGTTTCCTCTCCCTTGTCGAGTTTGTAATTGTTAAATGCCGCTGGCTCGATATACGGTACCAGGCGTGGCTCATTGCGTGGGAACTCGCCATGGGAAGGCGGGAGCCCGTGACGCTGGGCGAGGGACATGAGCTGCACTACATCGGGAAGCGGATGATTGAGCGGGAACACAACGTCAGCATCGAGGAGGTGACGAGGCAGAACGCCAGCCTGTTTTCGTTGCCGGCCGAGGAGATGCGTGTCAAGGACTACCTTAGCGATGCCCGGTTCGCGGATTTGGTCCAGACGGACGGCAAAAAGGATACATCATCGTCGGCAGCCGCGGTACAGGTCCCGTACACCCAACGTCTGCTGCTGCGCTGCGGCAGCTGTGAATTGGATCAGCTTGCCGGCTGGATGGAGGGCTACGAGTTTTCAGGGAGGGAGCAGTGAAAGAGGGACGAGTCATGGGTTTGAAAAGAGTTCATGTTCGTGTTTCCCGCCGGTCCGAGAGGGCAAAGCGCAATGGCATCCCTCCCTTTCCCACCTTATTCTTCTTCTCTTCTTTTTTGCATATTATTACCATGAGCGTGGACTGCCCTGCTTCGATCATAGCGACGAGGATTAAGATTTTAGAAGACCCTACTTGGCCCAAGACTATAGGCATTTGTATCGTATCTGCTCGCTGGCGCGGAAACATGCTCGAGAAAAAACGACCGTTCTGGGTCAAAGTGTTAAATTGGCGCCATCACTGTTGGCATCAACAGATATTGACCTTACCTTACTCTACTTTATTCAACAAAATCACAAGCCACAAACCGGTCATTTTCAAACTCATCATCTCGTAATTCTTTGTTTCCAGCCATGACCAGTTTCTTTGTCCGCGCGCTTCAAGGTCAAAGAGGGCAGAGAACCGATGCGTTTGTTCACGTCAATAAGAACAAATAGCAGTATGTCAATCAACAAGGTTGACGGTACAGGTTCCATGACTCGAGTTGATCTACATTGCCACACTCTATACAATGAGCACATCCACTTCAAAACGAAGATCACTTGCCCAGTGGGGAGAAACAAGTGGAAACAGGGACTTATTGTCGGCCTCGGTCGCGCCTCCGCGACTCGATGCGCTGGAGAGAAGTGTGCTCTGGGCTCTCAACCGACAAGTCTATCCTGAGATTCTCTCTCAATAGAAGTCTTGGACCATTACATCTCGTACAGCGTCTGTAAACGCACCATTTGTAATAGACTTCCCAGTCCCGCTCTCCCTCCCGCCTCCCCCCTCGTCTCGAGCGACATCGTAGTATCCTTGCGAAGCATAGCCCATCACTCCAGATCCAGCCGTCCGACTCGACATGATTGGCTCGACCCCGGGTTCTTTACCGCCTTCCCATCGAATCGGGTAATTGATGTAAAGACACAATGACTCGGCGAGTACTTGGAATCCCAGGTAATAGAGGGAGGGGATAAATCCGGGGAGCCGGAGTTGCCACTTCTCCAACTCCGGGGGGCGCGGGAAGCTGTGGGTTCCTGGCCTCTGCTGGCCTGCGGCGTTGCTTGCTTCTCGAACTTTTCCAAAGTCTTGGCATCCCTACGTGACATGACGTTGATGAGATGCTCGTTTACCGTGCAACACTTCAACCTACTTTTGAGGGTTTGCTCGTGAGCAGCAACTGGGAGGCAAGTTGACTAAGAGATACGGCTTCTTGGCGACTCCTAACCCGCACTCACTCCAGGCTCCTGGCGATTCGGCCGCGATTGCCTAAGACTCTGTACTCGAGATTGCTTTTTTTTTTAAGCCATGTTGAATCAAGTTCATTTTGACACGGCTGCTTCTCAGTTGCTGATTATGACTTCATGGTGTAGATTCAAAGAGACTGCTCATCATCAGCCATCACCACCTTGGAACAAAGGACAGTGTTTTTTTGGTCAAGTTCAGCAGAAATCGGGGAATCGCGAAGACGGATTGTAACTCATCACGAACCGAACCGAGAGTTCATGCGATCAACGGGTATGCGGCAGGGAGATGCTGCCCCAAAGGGGGAATACAACGAGTCAGTTAATTCATATTCAACTGTATTGAGGGGTGAATTGAGAGTGGGTGAAGCTCGGATGAGTCCCGTCTCATTCATACGTGAGTTGAGATAAGCTTTTCGAGTCTGAACTTTATTACTCTTTCTTACGACACAAAGTTGCGTAAACCAGGGGTGCTCCTCTCCTATACCACCCAGATCATCTTTTATCCCATCCTTTTCGCTCGTTGAGCAGTGGTCATATCACCCGGTCCCATGGCTTCTCAGGCCACTTTCTTGGCCACGGATCGTGGATGATGTTTCCCACACCAGGTGGAATTTCTAGGCGAGCGCCTGTGACAGAACTCTTCTTTCTCTCTGTGAAGGCCTAATCTCACGTACTTCTCAGAGATGGTGCAGTATTCGTGGTCTGGAGGAAACCAGTCTCGGATATGTCTCTGTAGTTCACAGCGCTCGAGCCCACACTTTGCGCAGCAGGAGGGTGGTCGCGGCTGCGGATGGGATATCGGTTGCTCGTTTGCCAGCGTGGCATCGTCCGTAGGGTCAGTCACAGTCATCGCCGTTGTTGCGTCGATGGACCTGAAGGCCGACAAAGCGGATGATGATCTCCGTGCCCATTCTCGGTGGTCCGGCCTCGGACGTCTCGTGGCGAGCTGGACAGTGCCATGTCGTCGTCGATGAAGGGTATAGAAGTAGCGGCTTGCCAACCCGAGACACGTACTATCGATGGGGTCGAGAAAGTCGATGATGCTGTGGTGGAGTTCAGGTGGTAAGTCAGTGATTGTGAGCGTTTGCTGAGCTTCTTCTACACGTCGGGTGAATTGCTTTCTGAAATTCAGTTCTGCTGGCGAACGGAGTGGACTTGTTACTTGTTGGTGTTGCAAGCAAACGCGAGATTTGCGAGTCGTGAGAGAAAGATGCCTGTTTTGTGTTGGACGAGCAGAGCGAGTGAGGCGTTGGAGCATCGGATATGAGCGTGATAATGAGATGAGTGGACGAACTTTGAGGAGTTCCATCTTGTCGTTCATGTCCATCGTGAGGTCTCGAGCTTCCTTGAGCTTCCGTTTTCTTTTCTTTTCAAAGATGTGTTTGCTTCGTGTACTGAGGTCTACTAAATGAAACGTCTCGCAATAACCAAGCATGTGAGTTCGGGTAAGTGTGTTATAGAGGAATTCCGTCGCTGCTTAGCCCAGAGATTGCAAGCAGGCTGTCACCTCTCACCACCTCATATGCATCCGACTGGACCATTCGGAGATGGCTAAACCCCGCATCATGAGCCTCCTTACCCGCGCAACAGGGCGAGCGCTACAAACGAGGCAACATCAGCACGACCCAATGACAGTCGGAATCACGATGTGTAACATATCATCACATGTCGTGATTCTTGAGCCACTGAGCCCCCTTGTGCCGAGAAGAGGAGATCGCCTGGGGAATGAAACATGAGAAAGGCTGAGGTCCTGCCTCGTGACCACCATCGTGAGAAAGCCTCGTTTGTGATACGTGGAATGCGGCTGTATCCCCGAATGGGGTAATCTGTCATACATGAGCCTATTTCCCCCAGAATCGTAATGGGTGCGCCACCTCGGATGCATGGAAGACATGACGAACCTTGTCTCACCACACCATACAAGTTCACGATCGGTCTGAACCGGCACAGCCTCAGAGCCACACGCCACACAGCCTTGGCAATGATCACCAAGTTGTCCTCAACACCACTGACCGCTCCGTGGCTGGAGACAAGTCTAATTTCCACGCGGAATAGCTAGCCGTCCGCCTCATATAAGTAATCAAATTGCCAAAAAACCAAAAAGCAAAAGAGTTCACCCCCCCGGTGGCGAATGGGGGCTACATCTCTGGTGCTCAAGCTGGGACTCGAACCTAGATCCTAGCGTAGGCTAAGCCAGTTGAACAGGCTCGCCCGTAACCATCCCGCCAAACGGCAGTTTGACCTGACCTCACAGGCCTGTGAGGCGCCTGCTGCCGTTGGTGACAGGAATGGACCTGACGGGGTATATGAAGGCCTGGCATCAGTCTCGAGGCAGGTGTGAAAGATGCGGGACCAGGACGCGCCTTCTCCTTCTAGGTTCTCGGCGTTGGCATCTCCATGAATCATCGGGATGTACCTTAGTTCCATGCCTACCTCATTCCACAGTCACGACGGCTCGGTTCACGCGAGGTCGATGTAGCATAGCAGCAGGACTTGAGTCCTCGAACACTAGGGTAGATGGAACTTTTCACACAAAGCAAGCGACTTGAAAATTTCTTCTCTAGCCAGCCATTTCATATCCGCAAGGGGTATCACCGCGTATGTATCACGCCAAAACCCAAAGACTGTTTCCTCGCTGAGGAGACAGACACCACCTGGCCCAAAAACAACATCCCGTCGTAGCCCAAACGCCTTCCACTCCAAAAGCTGACCAGAGAAACAAATCCGAGCAATTATTCCAAAGCTATCCCTCCCCGAAGTAGAACATTTCATTCTTCCGCTTACGAAAGTGATACCACATTCGGACCCCATCCAGCTTGATCTGGTGGCCCGGCTGAAACGAGACCTCTGCCCACGCGCGCCTGTTGGACGTCATGTAGCCAGGATACTCGACCATGGCCTCTTCGGGTTCGTAGCAGTAGTACGTGATCTCCAAGGGCTCTGAGAAACGAACGGTGGGCTTGGTAATGGCGTAGTTGCTCACGGGGACGTCCGCGTCTTTGCTGTTGCTCCTGGCAAGCCCTGCCTCGACGATCTCTGCATGAACTCGGTCTCTGTATGCTGTCATCTGTCCCCTGTGGTGATATTTGCGAAAAAACTTTTTCACAAAGCCGATTTCTTCGTGCCAGGAGCCTTTATCTGTGAAAGGGAAAGCGCAATTAGTCAACAGCCTTTTGATTCATGCAGCGAAACAAGTGGAGGATGGACAAAGTGAATGAGGCGTGCAGAAGAGCAAAAGCAGGGAAAGACGACTCAGGAATAGGAAGCAACAAACAGAAGTAGCCAGGGGAATCACTGCCAAGGTACTTGTGATTCGGGTCGGTTGACTTGTTCTTGAGGCAAGACCGCTTCGGCTTAGGTGCGGAAGACGACGATGATACGCTGCCGCCGCCGCCGCTGCCCCATTTGAACTCGACCAGCTCCATCGTGGGATCCGTTGCGAGCTCCAATGGGGGCGCTGTCGTTACTTCGATGATGACGGGATTCATGTTCATCTTCCAGTTACCTTCCTTTCACCTCTGTGGAGGAGCAGAAGCTGCAGGAAGGGTTCAGTGATCCCAAAAAGCAAAAAGCAAAAATGTCGGCAGGCCCAATAGCTGTACGATGCTGGTAGAGAAAAAATGATCAACTCGCTGTTTGCCGTGTTTGGCGATCAAGGTAGCAAAGCTTGCGGAAAAGGTGTTGTATTGGGTGGGAAAGTGAATGGTAAGGTGCAGCGGGAGAAGTTGCGACGGCAAGTTGGAATTTTTGGGAGAGGGATGGAGAATGTGAAAGAAGGTGGGCCCAAAAGGTGAGGCTGAAGAGTCGTCGGGTGGTGAATTATTTTGGGAAGGTGAAGTTGAGAAATTTCCTGTCTCTGTCTTCCCTCTTTGTTGGCAATTGCATGGTCGACGGAAGTTGCCCTCCTCTCTCTCACCTGGTGTAAGACAAAGGCAGGTGCGATGGGGACTTGGGATAAACTCTGTATTTGGTGTGATTGTGAATCCTCAATGCACTTGATTATTGCTTTGAGCAGCCTTGGTATATATCTTCTCGATGCTAAGGTTGACGTTCTGACCATCCTGAGTCCTGGCATGTTTTTTCTCATCACGATGTTTGGGAGTCATTGTATCCAAAATATTTCCCTGGAGATACAAATTTCTCTTTCAATTCGTCTCTGTGGTAGTAAATTGGAAGGAGGAAGGGTTGTATTGGATACTAAGGAAGACAGATTATGTGGCCACCTTATTCTTCTGTCTTGGATAATGGCGTTGCATGTGAGCCTCCGAAACCCTCCACCGCCTCTCACTGCAAGCCCAATGCCTCATAATCGACGGTTGCAAGTACACCCTCCACTGTCCAGTCGTGTGGGTCAAGTTCATCGGGCTTGGCCTGCTCGTCTTCCTTGTCCTGTTCGTGTTCCTCGACTTGCTCGTTTACCTCGGGCCGTCCATCAGCCTCGACTTGCTCATCAGCCTTGGCTCGTTCATCCCCAGTGCAAGGTCTATCCAGGACAGGCATCTGAACAATCAAGTCAACAAGATACTTTGACTCCTCCTCCCTCTCCCTCTTCTCCTTCTCCTCTTTACTCTCGATGGTAGGTAGTAAGAGAGTCTTCCACATCTTCCTGTCATCCTCAGGGGTGAACACCCGATGCTGGAAGTAATCGCCGTGGTGATTTTCCTTGGCAATCTTCCGCTGTCTATGACACTGCAGATACTCGTGTCGCTGAGCGAGATCCATAAGTTTCTCGTAATTGGGGTGTCTCTCTACCACGGGTTGCCGCTTCCATATGTTCCTATCTGAGAGGAAATCCTTGATGGCCATCCAGAGGTTAGATGCCATGATGTAGATCCCGAGTATCTTGAGGAACAGGGGCGAAGGCTCTCGATCTGGAGGAGCGTCCGCGTTTGTGGCGGAATTCGCAGGAGTATCAGCAGAGGTACCGAGAGCGAGAGGGCTACTACTCGTCGACATAGTGGACACTCTTCTTTGTAGAGAGTGTTTTGATCGTTATGAGCGAGTTGAGCAGTATCTCGATGGTGATGACGAGGCTGCAGAGGAAGGCGATATCCCAGACGACGGACATTAGCGGCGGATGAGGATGAACAAGTATTCGATGGCAGGTGGTCTTCGCTGTTGCGGAAGTTTTCTTTATTCTGTAATGAATATTCGAACAGCTAGAGTCGATGATGAATGGACGTCGTTTTCTGGAGAATGAAATGTTAGTTGTCATTCACAATACATTCTCTCCCTCCCCAGTCTCTTCAACCCGAGAAAGCGAGGAACAGGTGATCACATACAATTCTTTTTGCCGATCGATTTACGCTGCTCTACTCTAGGAGACAGTTGCGGCATCCGGCATTTTATACCCGTCTAGCCCTCTATTCGGAAATAGGTCGATGCTAGACCATCAAGGCATGGTAGCTGACTTGTACGAACCTTGGCCTCTCAGAACCTTGCTGCCATCTCCGATCAAACACCAAAAACAAAAGTCACGATGGATGCCAAGGTTGAACATGAAAGGGTATTATGATTTTCTGTAAAACTCTAAAAACTTCATCATTAGACATCAAGAACCGTTTACATGCCTGAGTACGCGTTGAGCGCCAACTGGCCACCCAAGTGCGCGTACAATACATTGCTACCCGCAGCAATCTCCTCATTCTTGATGAGCTGCATCATACCCGCCAAACTCTTACCCTCGTACACAGGGTCCGTGATGAAACCCTCCGTGCTGGCGCCAAACTTGATGGCGTCAATGGTGACCTGGTCGGGAATACCGTAGACACCGCCGTGGAACCGGTCATCCAGAATGATATCCGCCTCGGTGATATCGCCCTCCTCGAGACCAATCTTGGCCCCCGTGTTCTTGGCGATACGCAGCACCTGGTCAAACGTCTGCTTCACTGTCGCAGAGGCATCAATACCGATAACCTTGCGCTTCTTGCCGCCCAACTTCTCCGCAAGCTTGAATCCCGCAACCATACCCGCCATGGTCGAGCCCGTCACCGCACACACGATAACCGTATCGAAGAACACGCCCAACTCCTTCTCCTGCGCCTGCACCTCGAAAGCCCAGCGCGCGAAGCCCAGGCCGCCGAGGGGGTGGTCTGATGCGCCGGCGGGGATGTAGTACGGCTTGCGTCCGGCGGCGAGGAGTTCTTCTTTCAGGTTGGCGAGGGTGTTCTTGTGCTCGATGCCAAAGGTGGAGGGGTCGAGGCGGACGTCGGCGCCCATGAGGCGCGAGAGCTGGAGGTTGCCGACCTTGTCGTAGACGGGGTCGGTCCAGTCTACCCACTTCTCCTGAACGAGGGCGGCCTTGAGACCGAGCTTTGCGGCGACGGCGGTGACTTGGCGGGTGTGGTTTGATTGTACGCCGCCGATGGAGACGAGGGTGTCGCAGCCTTGGGCGAGGGCGTCTGAGGCGAGGTATCTGGGGTGTGTTAGTTTGGTCCTCTGATATGATTCATCATGCCTTCATCAGGGTGCCATGGTGAACTGGAGGCGGGAGAGGAGGACTCACTCAAGCTTGCGGGTCTTGTTACCGCCGTAGGCCAGACCAGAGTTGCAGTCCTCGCGCTTGGCGTAGACCTTGACCTTTCCGCCGAGGGCGGCGGAGATGCGGGGGAGGGGCTCAATAGGCGAGGGGCCAAAGAGGAAGTTCTCGCGAGGAATGCTCGCAAAGGGCTCGGGGAGGACTGCCGCCATCTTGGGTTCTTTGATGAGGTGTTGAGTGATGTAAATAAGTCTACTTGGAAAGGATGGGGTATCAAGTGGCGAAAAGAAGCAATACTGAAAGAGGAATTCGATACAAGAGAGACATTGTGAAGGAACGCGAGGACAGTGCTCGTCTTTAATAACAGAGTCGTTGTATGTGTAGTGTGTCGAGGAGCGACGTCGGCTGGGATGAGGCCAAGAGGTGGGCTTGACTCGGGTGGGCGCAACGCGGGCGGGTGGATAAGGGGGACGGTGCAGTGGTCCACCTGCTATCTGCAACGGGATCGCGGGGCAATTTGGCGATAAGAGATGATGATTACGCTTGATTTGGGTGTACCTACTTGGGTCGATTGAGACAAATGTTATCCAATCATTCTTGTTTGAGGCAAATGAATGAGTGTAAGCTTTGATGACTTGCTCAGTTGAAGCCGGGCTCACTCTCACGATGAGTTTCTCACATCGCGGGAAGCTATGCATGAGCAGTGAGAAAGGCGTGAGACGGAAGCTGCCCCTCCATCCGTGGCGATTAGGGGACCTCTCTCCCCTGCAATGAAGACGATTGCCCCGCGGCGGGGTCATTCTTAGGTCGCAGTGAGTGACAGGACATGAAAGAACCCCGCCATCAGTGAGCGGAAAACTGCCGGGAAACTCGGGCAACGCACATTCCGCGGAAAACTTCGCCAAACTTCGCCGGACGCACCGCAGTCGCTCATCTCTCATTTCTTCACCTACAATCTCTCTTACAGCATAGCAATCACACCATTTCCCGCTGGATAGGTTGGGCGTTCCGGGAAACTGCTCATCTCAGTCTCTCACATGCGGCATATTCAATCTCACTAGTCATAGTGAGTGTGTATGCGCGGTCACAACTCCAATCACTGCAGCGGGAGACAACTCACTTTATGATGGTGATTTCATTTTGTTTCTAATATTTTACTTTTTTTCATTCATGTTGGCAGAGTCCTGTCTCCCGAGAATCTCTATCCAGGCTTTCCGCGAATCTCTCATGAAGCAGTCCATGACCGTCTGTCTCGTCACAGATGCTACACCAAATATTTTCTCTCATCCTCACAAGCGCTCTAAATACAATTTTCACAAAAAATGCTAACCAACCTCACCAGACAAGCTCTACTCCGCATCCAACGGCGCGCGCGGAGGCACATTGTTCACCTGGATACCACCCCTCTTCAACTCCTTACTATCAGGGAACGGCAGCACCCACCCGCCCTCGCTCTCGGGCGTCGAGAGCCACAACCGCAACAAGTGCCGGCGCGGCGCCGGGTGGGGGTGGTCCGTATACGCCGTCCGCGCGTGGAGCAGGTGCGCGTTGCTCAGGAACTGGATATCGCCCACCTCGAGGATCATGTGCAGCGCCAGCTTCTGGCACGTATCCTCGAGCGTCTTGAGCGCGTGCAGCTGCTCCTCGCTCAGCGGCGGGATCACGCCCTTGTCGGAGAAGCGCGTCAGCGAGCGCACGTAGTAGGGGTCCCATTTGCAGTATACGCGGCGCTGCCCTCCGTTCTCGATGTAGAAGACGGGCTGGCGCGTCCACTCCTCCTGACCCTCGGAGACTTCGCCCTTGCGGTCAAAATACCAGATCGGCTTGGTCAGGGTCTCCGCGACGTCCGGGTGGGACCGCTGGAGCTCGTTCCAGACGGCGTGGATGCTGACGAGGTCGCTCTCGCCGCCCTCGGCGGAGCGCTGGACGCAGAGGAGGCCGACCAGGTCGCCGTCGTCGGCGTGGAAGAACTGGCGAGCGGTAGTGCGGTAGATGCGGACCTTATCGATCTGGGTCGGGTCGTCGCCGACGTCCTTGACGTGGCCCAGGACGTGGCCGCGGCCGTTTTGGGAGACAAAGTAGCCGAGGTAGGTGCCGAGGCCCATGTAGCCGACGGCGGTCTTGTGCGGGCCCCATTCGTTGGCGGGGAAGCCCTTGAAGAGGACGAAGCCTTTGCCGTCGATGAGGTCTTTGCGGAGGTCGGTGAGGCGCTTGCCTAGTGTTGGGAGGGGGAAGTTGGACTGTTGGTGGTAGTGTTAGTGCACTGTCATCTGGGTACGGGCTGAAGTCGTTCGAGTGAATCTCTTCATCTCTCCTTCGAGGAATAAAGTCAGACGTACCTTGGAGATACCCGTCAGAGGGGTGTTGCTGGCGATAAAGGCGTCAGAGGTGCGGCCGAGCTCCTCAACCTCCTCTGGGGTGAAGCGGTGCGTCCACTTCTCAGGCTGCTGCTCAAACTCCTCCTTGTGCCAGACCGTGGGGCCTGAGATTTCCTTGGGGAACTCGGCGTAGGGCTTGAGAGCGTCGTAGAGGGGGTTGTGCTGTCCTGAAGTGCGGATGCCGTCGGGGAAGATGTTTCTGGGAGCATCGTCGTTCTTGCCCTTCCAGGGGCCCTGAGAGGGCTGGACGGGCTCGTCAATGAGAGCACCTGGGGCCATTGTGATGAAGATTTAGGGGGTATCAATTGAGAGAAATGAAAATGTGTTGAGGCGAGGTATCGAAATGAGGTCTCAAAATGAGGGGAAGTGGCAGATGAGACGGACTTATATCACAAAGACTGAAATTGGAGAAGGGGCAAAAGGTTCTGCAACGGGGAGAGAAAGGTTTTATCTGATCTGCCCCTCATTACATACAGTACTCACTCACTGCTACTTTACCTTACTCAGTATCAATAATTACTACAATCGTAAAACCATCTGGCCGGGTTGATGGTGTCGAGCTCTCATCAACAGATTGCGTGCTTGGGCCCCCCCATATCGCAATGGCCGTCCGATGACGCGAGACACTCCTGCTGTGGGGCCCGTCGATCGGGGTTCAACTTCCATCAACATGGACGACAACGTGGGACCCCGCGCCCCAAAACCTCCGGGCCTTTGACTGCCGACCGCTTGGAACCGGGACGCATTGTGTCTTTCCAGTGTAGCTGTTCTCCAAAACAAACTTTTCCTTCTCCGCTGTCATACCCTTGCTCTCCTCTTTAACCGACATTTTCTCTCTCGATTGCGTGATTGTCTCTTCTCTCGAGTACTTCCTAGACAATCAGGAGTCAGGACTCAACACCCTCGGTTTCCGGCTGCTCCCGCAGGAACCGACAGCGGCGGCGTGGTTCACTGGCTCTCAGTTAACCCCTCTTCCTCTCCTCCGCCAACCTGGTAGAGTTTCGGTGACTTTGACGGTGCGGCGCTGAAAGTTCCGACGACTTGGAGACGACCCCAACACACCATCTTCCTCTGGCCCCTAGTTCGAGTTGCGTTATCACACCCCGGCGCGAAATGCAACGGTTTGATGATCGTATCCCTGTCGATTCTTTTGCCCATCATGATGACACACGTGCGGGTTCGCGCATATTCTGGGAGATTTACAGGTTGGAAGCGCGGTTAATGAGTCCAATTCGCTCTTAAGGACGGCAAGCCATGTAAGCATTGATGATCATTGAGGCTTTGTCTAGAAGTCTATTCATCCTACTGCTAAGCGGTTATATCTAAATGCCAAGGAGCACTATTATAAACATAGCTTCCGGCAGTGTACATGCCACAACCTCTCGATTTACGTTTATCCAAGAATCAACCTCACATCCACCCGAAACCGGAGATGAGGAGGACATAGCTCGACCCATAATGAACCCATCTTCACAAGCCGCATCGTACAAGCAGGATACTCGATCACTCGCAACATCAAGACCCCCTGAGTTCTTGACCAATCATGACTAGCCCTCAAACTCATCAATGACGCTCCGAGGCTTCGTAAACGTCCCAAGAGGCACATATTCCAGCCCGTCCATTCCGAACCCCTTGGGTCCGCCAATCTCGATGCCCCGCGCCGTGGAAGTCCACTTGTCCGACGCCGTGATGCCGAGCACCACCACAAGGAGACCGTAGCGGTACTCTTGCGTGCCGAGGGCCTCGCCGTTCTGCGCGTCGAGGACGCAGACTAGATCTGGGACGATTGCGAGGATCTGTTTGAGTGCGAGATGTGTCAGTCTCGTACTCTTCACTTTCCTCTCGTGATAGGAATGGGGAGTTGTCGGGACTCACATCTTCCTTCCCACTGGCATCGACTTTCTTCGCAAGAACATTCTCATTCTTAAACGGTATAACAAACCTCTCAACCGCCCCATCACCATCGTTCCTGCCGTCAGTATGCCCCTCAATGATAACCTCCCCATAGGCGTGCCCCATCCTTGTAATCCTCTCGACGCCTACAATCTTGCCCCTAAACAGCACCCTCGCTGACTCCTGCCCGCCAACCACGTCCACAACGGCCTCGGCGACTGTGTCGATGGCATTGGTACACCGCGCCATCGCTACGGCGCGACCAATCCGCCAGGAGAGCGAGACGGTGTTCTCGACGACCCAGGACTTGGTATCGCGGCCGCTGACAGGGCCCTTTGCGCAGCCTACGTGAGAGCCCATTTGCGAGAGGGCGGCGCGGAAGGCGCGTTCTGCGTCGAGTTCTGTGCGGGCTTTTGTCATGAGCTATTGTTTGTCATCCACAGGTCAGTAAAGGGTGTTATCTTCATCACACGTGGACTTGTGAGAAATCGCGAAGGATGGTCGGCAGAATGGGGGACGAGAGAAGAAGAGACTGTACCATGATTCTGCCGTTCCCGTCTGATATACACGACGGAATCATCGTCGCTTTCTTTTCGAAGACTACTGGCGTAGTTTGGTGGGAGATGGGATACGCGCGACCCATCCAGTCGCCGTCCACTGTCGGGATATCGAGGTTTGTACTGGCGCCGAGGATGCGGCCCTGCAGGCCGTTGCCACCTCCAATCTCGAGGGATATCACGGCCGTAGGCTTCGTTTTGAGGTATGAGTAGAGTTCTCTCTGCGACTCCATGATTCTACAAAACATGAGCATTAGAATTCGAAGTATTCCATCTTCAAAGGAAAATCGTGCAGATGAGGGAGACCCACTCATCCCCATACGGCTTCTCAATGGATACCTGCGGCGACCCCTTTCCGCCGCCACAGGCCACAATATCGTCGTCCTTGAGGTCATAGGGGGAGATGATCTTGACGGTGGCGCCTGCGCGCATCATTTCGCGGAGGCGGAGCATGTGCTGGTAGGGGGAGCCGCCGCCTCCAGTGCCGAGGATGTAGCAGCCTGTCGTGATCCAGTCGAGGTCTGTTTCGGAGAGATGCCATTGGCGGTCGAGGACCTTTGGCTTGTAGCCCTCAATGTAGTCTTTTGTGTAGACCAAGGGTTGCGGTGATGGGATTCCCTCGCTTCGAGGCGGTGCCGGTGGTCTAGGTATTTCTTCGTCGTAGTTCTCGGTGTCGTCTGGGATCGTGGTTGTGTCCAGTGACGCTGTTCTGGAAAAGTCGAAATCTCCTACGGCTTTGATGTTGATTCGCGACTTGTTTGCAATATACTGCCAATCGAACATCCTGTCAGCTTTCATGGTCATACTCGTCATGTCACAGAAACATACCTGCAACGGAAAACTTTCCACCTCAGCAATAGTCACACTCTCCCTCAAAGCACCATTCTCAACAGCCCGATCAACAGCCCTCCGCGACAACGCCTCCACAACTTCAGACACAGTCTTCAGATTAGTACTCTCAATTGCGTCCACGACACCACTAACCCTTGCCGTCGCAGCCCCAATTGCATTCGCAACCTCAGACCATGCAGGTTTTATAACCCTACTCGCTCCCTTCAACTCATCCGGCGCAATAACCGCACCCCCGCCGACGAGAACGACGGGAATGTCCTCGGGCGAGGTCTTCATCGTGTCCACGATCCGCTCCAGCATCGTCTTCACCTTGGCCTCGAACGCCGATAAGTCATCAGCGAGGCCGTTCACACCTTCAACGAGAGACCGGTCTCCGATATCAACGGTGTCTGGATCTGCGAGTACAGTATAATCCGTAGCCGTCGCAACATCGCCGCCGAAAACGAGAGCCTTTGTTTGGATCTCATATCCCACACTCTGTGGCCCGATCATCATCTCGCCGGTGCGCTCGTCTTTCTTGACGATAGATCCGCCGCCGAGACCGATGCTCTTGACGTCCGGGTACGAGAAGTTCGTCCGCACCCCCGCGATCTCGCTGTAGGCTGCCGCTTGCCTGGGGAACCCGTTGGCCAGTAACAAACCCACGTCCGTCGTTGTCCCTCCGATATCGACAACCATCATCGGGCCCGCACCCTCCTTTTCTCCCTCCAAATTCCTAGTGAGGAACGCCGCACCTCGCATGCTATTCGTCGGTCCGCTGGAGAATGTCCTGATGGGCAACCGCGCCGCCGCCGCCGCCGGCAGGATGGTCCCGTCGTTCTGCGTCACGAAGACGGGGCAGGTGAGGCCTAGCTGCGTAACGGCATCCTGGAAGGAGCGGATGGTTCGTCTAGCAAATGGAAGGATGGAAGCATTGAGAATAGCCGCGTTCTCACGCTCAAGGAACCCGATATTCGCCACATCCTTTGACATCACCACATCAGCTCCGGGATAAACATCACGAATAATCTCCGCCGCCCTCTCTTCTTGTCTGTACACGACGTCAATGAGACTGAAAACCCCCACAACGACAACACTCCTAATTCCCTTGGCGCGGATAACCTTCACCTCGCGCCGCACGGCATCTTCATCGAGCTCCGCAATCAAGTCACCGTCAATCTCCAGCCCGCCGTCCACCAGAGAGCGGTGGGCACAGATGATGTTGCGCAAGGCAGGAGGCCAGTCGACGCCGGCGGGGATGGATGCGGAGAAGGGACCGCAGAGGCGGATGACGGCGACGGGGGCGAGGCGGGAGGCGTCTTGTTCTACTACGGCGTTGATAAAGTGCGTTGTGCCGATTGTGACGCTTGCGATGCGGGAGGGGGGGATATTGGAGGTTGAGAACATGTGCGAGATTGCGGTTGTGATGCCGGTGCTTGGGTTGGGTGTTGTTGGGGTCTTTTGGGTGGCGAGGATGCCGAGGCAAGGGGAGGAGGAGGATGGATCGAGGATGACGCCATCTGTGTTTGTTCTGTTTGTTTTTGTCAGAAGTGAGTTGATGGTTTGGAGGTGGGAGTTTGGGGTTGGTGATGTGAAGTTTGTCAACGCAGAGGTGAGGTGAGGCGAAGTGAGAGGGGCATTACTCACCCGCCGACGTCGACGCCTATCCTCAAGGTAGGGACTGTCATTTTTGCGGATGAGCTGGTGATGTTGCACTTGCTTCCCTAATGCTTGGAGGTTCAGATAATTTGCATTGCATGCAAAGAGAACTCTCTATAGGGATGGTGGTACGAGGTCCTGCAGTGAGGGCATTTGCGATAATGATAGCAGGTGAGGTGCAAGACATACAACTGAAGTATCGCACCTTCTCCGACGCGGTGCCGGCATCGGGGTAGAGGCCGATGTTTCAACCCCGGATTCCGAGATAGTGGACCCCACTTCACCAACCTCACCTTACGGCGTCAATCCTATCAGGTACCAATGTGAAGGACTACTAGGTAAGGGAAGCTACTTACACAATTGAATATTTCCACCCTTGAGTTCAACACTGTCATTGGATTGGAATACTGGCAGACGAGTGAGTCCGAGACGATCGACCACCATTTCTTATCACCCAGCATGTCACCAGCGGGCAACACCCCACTGCTCCGCATCCTTATCATCGGCATCGAGGACCAGGTCGGCCGGGAGGGGGGGGGGGGGGTTACATCAAGGCCGCTTTGACAGCTGACAAGCTCGCGGGCACGTCGTCCGACGCTCGGAAAGTTGCCGACGTATGTCCTCTTTTCAGAAATAAAGAGGGCACGGAAATGGGGGCAAATGCAGACTTGCCCCGGAAAACTGCCTCCGAACATTGCCCGGCATGCAGGTCATACAAGGTCGCGATTAGCAGCGCATATCTCCCGACAACCTATGCTTCGCTCTCCTACAAAAATCCAGAACCATGAGAGAGAACGTGAGTGATGCAAGGATCTCGAGATAAGATGGTCCTATATATCCGTTAGTACACGCCCTTCCACGGGCTCGAAACGAAGCGTTCTCGAACGGTGCAGACGGAAATACAAACGTAAGAGTTTGCAGCGCCTAATCTGTCACGGCAACAATGGCAAACAAGACGGCGCGCAGATTTAAAGAAGCCCTGGCCCTCAAGTCGGACAAGTCCCGCCACGAAGAAGTCAGCGCCTGGTCGAACCGCGACCTTATCCCCTTGCCGCCCTCCCGCCGTACCTGGGGCTGGTTCAACTTTTTCGGCTCCTGGTCGTTGTAAGCTTGACTCCTCTTGTACTCTGAGAAAAAAAAATCATCCTATGTCCAAATACTGAACCTCTGCCCATTCCAACAGATCGTCTCTCAATGTCGCAACATGGCAGACTCCCAACACCTTCCTTACTCAGGGGCTCTCAGTCGGCCAGGCTATGGCCGTCATCGTCGTCTCGCGCGCCCTCTGCTGCTTCTTCGCCATTCTCGTGGCTTGGTGCGGTCTGACCTGGCACATCGGCTTCACCGTCCAGAATAGATATACATGGGGCTTCCGAGCGAGTTTCATACCGCTGCTGCAGCGCATTTTCCTCAACTTTATCTGGACCGCTCTCCAGTGTAAGCGTGTCTCTAGTCTTTCCAAGACGCCATCCCCCTTCTACATACGACAAGATGACTGATCCGGGTTTGAACAGGTTGGAATGGAGGTAAACTAGTAACGTATGAGAAGCATCCCCTCCTCGAACGAAGTCTCAAACACTGACAGTACACCTCTCGCAGCGTCTGCATAACCGCAATCTGGCCCTCCTTTGCAAAGATTCCCAACACCCTCAGCAAAACCACCCCAACAACAACCTACGAACTCCTAGGCTTCACAGTCTTCTGGATAGTTTCCCTTCCCTTCCTCTTCATCCGCCCCGAGCGCTTCAAAAAGCCGTTCTTCATCTCCTCCGTCGCCTGCGGCGCCGCCATGGTCGCCTTACTCGCCTGGTCCGTAGTTGTCGCTCGCGGCGTTGGCCCCGTCTTCTACCAGGGCGAGAAAGTACTCACCTCGTCCCGGTGGAACGCTTCATGGCTGATGATGGCGGGGATTAACCAGGCTATCGGTGGGAAAGCGGCAGGCATGAGGAATAGTAGTGACTTTTCGCGGTACGCGAAGAATAAGAGGGATTATATCGTTGGTACGGTGTCGGTGTACTGGGTTACTGGTGTGCTTGTGTGCCTGGGCGGGCTGGTAACTACCGCGGCGTGTCAGAAGATCTACGGGCAGATTTATTGGAACCCGCCTGATTTGTTGATGGTTATGATGGACCGTGAGTGTTTCTCTCTTACCAATTACTTGTCGCCCCTTTCCTTTTTCTTCCTCTTCTTGTATCTCGTGAACCACCTTGAAGAATATCCAATGACATGATTGCCCACAGACGGCCAAGGCTCCCCCGGCTCCCGCGCCGCAGTCTTCTTCCTCGCCCTCGCCTTCGCCTTCACCTCCATGTTCGAAAACGTCTGCTCCAACGCCGTGGCGGGCGGCATCGACCTCGCCGGCCTCTTCCCGCGCTACCTCGACATCCGCCGCGGTGCCCTCCTCACTTTCGCCGCCGCCTGGATCATCCAACCTGGCAGCTCATCAACCAGGCCGCCACCTTCGTCGCCGTCCTCAACTCGTTTGCCGTCTTCCTCGCGCCCATCATGGGCGTCATGGTCTGCGACTATTTCGTCCTGCGCCATCGGCGTGTCCGGCTGACGCACCTGTTCAACCCGGAGGGGTCCGATTATTGGTACCAGCACGGCATCAACTGGAGGGTGATCCCGTGCTGGGTTGCGGGTTGGGCGCCGACGGTGGGCGGATTGATTGTGAGTGCGGGGGGCGTGGGCGGTGCGCCGGACGCGGTGTACGAGCTGTACTATATTGCGTTTTTCATTGGGTTTGTGATTTCGTTTGTTCTGTTTTGGGGAGTGAATGGCTTGTTTTCTGTTGAAGGTAGCTCAGTTATCTTGGATCTATATTTTTTCAGCCAAAAGAGGACCGTCATCTTATGTAGTAATGTCGTACACTATAAGATACAGGAGGTGGATGACGGGGTTGGCTTATTGGAATAGATTAGTGCCCTTGTCATTCATGATCGCTGCGTTTATTGAAAGATCCCCCAGTTGGTCAGATCTATCCCCTGAATATTGAACCAGCTTTCATTGAGCAAATCAGAGCCTGTGAAATCCCCAAAGTCCTGCGCCAGGGTCGTCTGGTTCAAACCAGGCACAGAGCCAAACGGGATCAAGACGTCCTGCTCGCTTGGTTGCTCAAGTCGCGCATCGTATGTTTCTGCTATGTAAGAGCGCCAAAAGAATGGTTAGCTTCTCTTCTGTTGAGTCTACTATTTCCATTCATCAATAGGAAAAGTAAACCCCCTTTCTTGCTCTTCACGTGTATTTTTCTCTTACCATTGGTGGCGGGGGCCCCGCTGGGAGCGTCTCGCTGCGAAGCGGCAGCCATGACAGATGCGCGAAATCTTTCCAAGACTTCGATGCCTCGGCTGGCAGACGCGACATGCTGCTTGTGAAAATCAAAGATGCGCAAAGCTCTGTCCCACGAGGATTTTGTCGGCTCTGTTTCGAAGCTGACGTGGAGATCGGGGCACAGGGTCGCGACTACCAGAGTGGAAGCTGCGGCAAAGGTAACTGTGATGAGAGAGTAAACAAAGATTTAGCTTGAATCGCCAAACCTGAACTGAAGACTGGAAGGGCAAGACGCAAGAGGCAAGCAGGCAGAAGGGGAGGAAAAGGAAAAGTTTGCGTACAGAGTAGAACATGCCAGGCCGAGTTCTGCCTAACGCTGCCCAGCTTTTCGTAAAGCTCCTGTAGTACGCTGTGAGCCGTTGAAACGCAGAGCAAGTTCGCCGAGTGTCCTAGACTGTCTCGAAGTGTATGCGCGGCGGCCGTTGCGAATGATTTCTGGGGCCGACTACCGTGCTTAGCTTCGGCCAAGAGGAGCGGACGAAGGAGGAGAAGCCGAATCCATAAGACTCTGGGTGACAGAGCGATAAGTCAGACTTTCTCTAAGAGAAGAATGAAGGAAGAGGCTTGGGAGAAAGCCGCCTTACCTCGACTTGAGGATGTTCGCCTGCATCTGCAGACACCCTCGCAACTCTTCGTCTAGCCGTGTCAAATCCGCGCCTTCTCTGAGGTAGGGCGGGATTGAATGGCCCAATTCGTCGAGCTTTGACGAGAGCTGCAGGACATGACTGAGTGAATCGGGTGTCTTGTCCGAGACAGATTCGCCTTCGGTGTAGAATTTGGCTAGTATCTCATTCAGCACATCAAACAGCGCAACGGAGTGTACAAAGAAGGCCAGGTACGAAGGGCGATCCGACGGTTGTAGGCCTTCGGAACTCTCAGACAAATACTCATCGTCGATAGGTTCCGGTGGAGGGACGAAGTACTGCCGAGACACAAGGACAGGTCTCCCAAAGGTGGTTGCCGTGAGTCTTGGAAGCCTTGACGTTAGCTGGGTGGCAATCATCTGGATCCGAGCAAGCGAAGGCAGCGACACGGGTGCCACGGGTGCTGGTGGAGAATCTTCTGCCTACCTGTCTAAAGTTAAGCAACAGTGCCAGACACGTCGCCTCATCTCCCTCTTGAGCTGACTCTTTGAGGACGTTGGTCCATCACCGCGGGAGTGTAATCCGAGACCCTGCGCAACTCGCAGTGCGACTCCGGTTGTGTTCCAACATCGGTCTGCGTATTGCGTGTAGTGTAGGTAAACGCCCCTCAGTAGCAATAGCTGGACGAGTTGCAGAGAGGAGTGATCGAGCGTATCGACTGACACGAGCTTAAAAGACTGCTTATAGAACCTATTGGCTAGGCGAACTTGCTCCGTTACCGAGACCTGATCTGTCCGCTGACACCCAAGAGCCAGCACGATGCTCAAGGTGGCATGGAAAACAGTGTCCTTGTAGTCTCGATTGGGAGGTCGGTCTTGAGATGGCTGCCAAACCGCTTCGTACGACGCGGTGAACGACGGCCTGTGGAGTATAGGAAACACTGGGTGGACAAAATCCCAAAAGCAGCGGAAGAGATTATCGGCGAGCCACCTCTCGGGAAGCATTACAGGGTCCGGTGGGATATCAGGACTCTTTGGCTGCGTTGTTATCGCGAACCCAAGTACTGTAGGGGTAACTTCTCCTGCATCCTGGCCAGCCAGCTCCTCTGGACTCTT